TAGCTGTAGAGGGCGCAGCGTCACTGGCCCATGTGGGATCTGAGCCAGCGACCCTGCTGCTTAGAGCTCGCGCTACCAAGCCAACTCTTAAACAATGTGCCACTCGGCTGGCCCGCAATTAGATTTCTTAAGCAGACTGTTTTTCAACAACCTCGAATATTTTCGTTGTTGTTTCCCAATATTTACAGCGGAGGTGACGTCAGAGCTCTGTCGAGATGTGGATGCTGGGCCACAGCTCACTCCTTAACCAAGTACCTGATCCCTGTACATCACAGCATGTCTGTCAATATGTGTCTCACCAAATGACAAGTTCTCCCATGCCATGGGACGCTGTTACATAGGCGATGATAAATTTCAGATTGCTGGCATGACATCTGTGATGTGCAGTGGGGCTCGTTCCGTAGATGCTCAGCAAATGCACATTGACTGTCAGGATGAATGCATATTAGCATATCTTGATGTCTACAATATCACGGACATATGTAAACCAAGCATTCAGATATTCTTACTTAAAGAAATGCTTCCTAGGCAGCACTTACGAACTGACGTAGTTCCATTACATCTTATAATAAGTAACTTGAGTAGCTTCTGTAGACATGTTAGCAGCCCTCCCTGTACCTTCATATGTCCAAAGGCAGTTTGTAGTTACAGAAAAGATCTCAAACGTTAGTCTGAATCACTTTTTGAAAGACCTTACTACAAACAGCAGGTATAATCATTTTTTTACTGGGTAGATAAACCAATTTAAGATTTTTAAAAATGTAGTAAATTTCGCTATTGAAAACCAACAGCCTCGAAATGAATTATGCTAGACCATTCAAGTGATTTTCCACGTCATGTTTTCCACTTGTTATGTTCTTTTACAAGGTAAGGGAACACAGCCACTGGTAAGTTATTTTTGTATAAATGATTATCCTCTGTATACTCCGGTATACTGACATTTTCATTTATTTTAGTAGACCACTGTTTTAGCACACCAATTGATTTTCAGTTTAGATATATTAATTAATGGACTATACATCGTGGCATTATCAGAAAGAAGATAAAAATAGGAACCTTGAATTGTTGGATTATATACTAATTTAATATCTGTCTTAAACTATAGATTAGAAGAATTTAGAAGATTAAATACTCTTTCTAAGAAAGTAGACATTCCTTCAGAGAAGGCAATGACACGGATAAATTTTCACCAACCGCATGCAAAGTCAAAACCTGCAAAGATTAAGGTAAAGTGGGCATCATGCTAACCATGATGGGAGGAGCGAGAGAGAAGCAAAGTAATGAGTTTTTCCTTCTGATTTTGTTCCAGGAAATTGAATATCAGAACTTGAGATTTCCGGTAGATTTATCAAATCCATTTGCTGTGGCAACTGTTTTAAACCAAGAACCAGGAAAATTGAAGATAAAAGAGCTAAGAGAAGGTAACCAGTTGATCCACCATAAGTCAGCACCTGGGCAGAATATGAAACAATAGTTGTTTGTGGTGTTTATTATTTATGAACAGCAACAAGTCTCAGATCGTTGTTACAGTTTGCCATTAGAAATGTGTTTTTCTCTCTGCAAATGATTCTGATTTGATTACTGGTATAATCATTGTTTGCTCCTGCCCTCAGTTTTGGACCAAGGCGATGAGATTTCCAAAACAAGACAGATGAAGGAAGCACTCTTTGAACAGAAAGTCAGACAAGACACTTGTGAAGAGATTGGAAATCACCTTAAGTGGTAAATATTGAGCAATTATTTGTATCAAGTGACAGCACATGGTTTTTGGTAGTGGCTATTTTATATGAGAAACAATGAAATGTCATAACTTTTTATGCCCTTTGAAACTTCTAATTATTCTTTCCCCTCCACTGGACTCTGTATTTCAGAATGAAATTTCTATTGGGAATAAATGTGACCAAACTATGCTGTTTCCTAAGCGTGACCAGACTTTGGCAGAACCAGAGTGAACTGTGGGAGAAGCCGGGGACACTGGTCCCTGCTGACCACTGCTGCTGGCACCCTCTTATTCCCCAGGCACCCCAAATCTCACCCTACCAGGAGCCCCATGTGCCCTGGGCTGTGTGCCCCAGGGGCCTTCTGGGGAGCCCAGCAGTACAAGCTGGTGTGTGGGAGGCTATGATGGAGGTTTTAAAAGTAGACGTGAGACTTCTGCCTTGTGCTCCTGCATCAAAATGGAGCCCTTTTCACAATCTTTTACCAGGTCATACCAGGCATACCCATGTATACAGATTCAGCTAATGCAAACTTTAGAAACCCTTTTTTTTTAAAGATTTTTATTGGGGAATTGGGGGGATGGGAACAGTGCTGGGGAATTGGGGGAAGGGGAACAGACAACTTGTTGTCGTTTTGTTCTTCAGTCTAGTTGTGGAGGGCGTTGCTTCACTGGCCCAAGTTGGCACCATCATTGCGCTCTTCCCGGGCGAGGCAGATCAGTCGC